TTTTTTTTTTTTTTTTATTGGGTGGCCGACTTATCGGTGGCTGTGGACGCGCTCTCTTTGTCGCCGCAAACAAGCCTTTGATGCCTCCTCAAGGTATCCAGCCTTTTGTAACCTTTGCCACACTGATTACAATAAAACTTTTGTCGATGTAGCCACTCGACTTCCTCCTGTAGCTTCTCCAACGAAGCATCGCATTTGGCTTGGTGTCGTTTCAGACTGTCCATTCGCGTGTAGGCTCTGTCGCAGCCGTCGCATCGAAATTGCTGATGAGACTTCACGTTTTTCCGAAGCATACCTGTCTCCACGGAATTCAAGATGGACGAATCGCAGAGCAAATAATTCATTGGTAATTGTCCGTGAAATGAGATTTCACAAACCTCGGCGTCGTCCTCTTGGTCTTTTTCTGAATAGTTCTCTGACTTCTCACCTGCAAAGATACATGCCTCCGTTACAAATGGGAATTCGCGGGCATCGTGTTACGCTAGTTCTCCTCGGACAGGGGAAAGCATGCATATGTTGCGTTATAGCCAACATTACCTTGCGTTTCATTTCGCTTTTGAGCAAAAGCCTGAGATTCGTGACTATTTTCCGATTATAATGCAAACAATCTTATTAGTAATCAATCAAAGGCAATTATGAACGAGCGTTTTTTTTTTTTTTTACCGAGAAAATCCTTCGAACAGATGGGCGGAGGTTAAAAGGTATTATTTGAAAAACATTTTATTCAATCTCGAACATATGAAGAAAACATTATTTCATGAATATTACAGCATCTTCGGCATACATACTTACATACGTACATAGCGCATAAAAGTTTCTGTTTTCAAAAATTGTTGTTGCAAGATACTCGTCATGATACTTCATATTCCATACTAGAACATTATTGACGTTGTGGATTTTCAGTCATTCATAACTACTACAATTTTGTTGAAATTTAATTTTAATATCCCCTAAAGAATAAGCATCATTACACAATACAGTGTAATACTTTGTCTGAACAAACAAATAAAAATGTTTTGTCATG